AGCAATATTTTATCTTACAATAAAAACATCTAAATGATATATGAAAATAGTGGAAAGTAAGAAAGTAGATGCAATAAAATCATGTCCTAAAGTACAAAATCACAAAATATTAGTTTAACAAAACTCCCAAAGTACAAAGAACAAAAAAATGCAATTATATCCCATCACTAAATGGGTCTTCAAGGGAATTTTCTTCTCCAATTGTACTATGAATGTCATATCATCATCATCTTCAATATGACTCACTTTTCTCTTCCCTGTTCAATAAGAGAAAAGATCATTATCATGTTAATTACTCACTTGACATAAATGTAATGTAATAGCATATAAGTTGTATAAGAACTGAATAAAGTGTCTTGCATTTACCAAAATAATTATACCTGGAGACCGTTTGGAAATGGTTGCTTTTGCTGCATTCAAACCAAAAAAACCCTCTTTATTCCGGAATAGAACAAGTTATAAATTTGTAAGCTCCCTATCTGCCTGCTCCGGTATTAGTCTTTCCATACAATGATATAGACTAAGCTTCACCTCACCTATATATATAGTGGAGGAAGAGCCCTTTCCACTCTCGCTCCCAAAATAAGCGCCATGTTCAACCCTATCATCAAATTGCTCCTGTTGCAAGTGTTTAGTCGTGGTACTTTTCTTTATATAAGCAATAATTTCCTCCTTCACCTTTCCTGGCACATTTGCACAGGGTGCTACATTTTTGTGCGAGCATGATAGGTGTTCCTTCATGCGGGTAACACCTCCTTTCACCACTTTATCGCAAAAATTACATTTCAAATAAATATAGCTCTTCTCTCCGCCACCAATGTCAACTTGTACACTATATTTCCAAGAAGGGTCCCTCCGCAATGACGAAGACCCCTTTTCCTTGCCTCTAACCATGATCCCTAATGAAAGAATTCAAAATCACACAAAATAATTCAAAAAATTTAAAACCCTAGAATTTCTTTCACTTCAAAAATCTAACCAAAAACTAAAAAAAATACCTAAAATCGTTTGTGGACTTCTCCTACACGGCGGCTGGACACTTCAAGTTCGCCGAAGAGAGGCGGCGCCAGCGGGAGAGGCGGCGGGAAGGGTGGCCGACCGTGCGGGATCTTCTTTCGCGAACAGGAGCTTGCGGGCGGAGCGTTATTGGGAAAAGCCTGGGCCGAACGGGTGTAGGAAAAAAAATGAGTCATTTTAAGGTGGGGCCATTTGGATGAGGCGTACGCCTCACTCATAATTGCGCAATTGAGGCGCGCCTCACACAGGGTGAGGCGTACGCCTCTTCCAGGCTCCAAATTGCGTGCGCCTCGAGGTGCCTTTGGGAAGAATTGCGCATCTTGTTGCGCAATTTTAAACAGAGGTGGCTAGGAGTGACAGATGGGGTAGTTGTGAGTCACGTTGTGCCATTTTGATATTGTGGAGGTGCTTGCAATATGCTTATTGTCCCATTGACTCATGACTACATTCAAGAACATTAGCATGGTTCTCACTTTGGGTTTGCAGATTGAGGTGAGGGAGGTAGATTCAAAGTGGACCAAGGATCAATATTGGACTTGTTGGAGTTAATTAGGATCAACTAGTGTTGGCTTTAGTTTAAACATATTATACTGATTCTTGGCATATCTAGTGACTTGTTGTTGGAACCACACTCAAGAGTGTTAGTGTGGGCTTCATTTTGGGTCTACAAGCTGTGTTTCAAGGCAAACTCAAACAGGCTTTCAATTGTTGAGGTCGGACTATAATATAAGATAATTGTATTGTATATATCATACATTCCACTCCATTTATAGGACTCAACAATGCTGTGCACTATGAAAAGTCTTAGTGTAAACCTCTTATTGGTTCAATATTCTATCATCACTAATAATTGTTATTCTTAGCATTGTTGTAAAAGATTCTTACCATGATCTAAATACCACTTTGTGAGTTTTTTAGAAGAATTATCATTCACTACGGTTATGACGACGGTCCCCCTTCTCCCCTCTTAATTCTAGTTCTAGGCTTTTTTGCTTCATCATAATACCCCAACCCCAAGGGAAAATCCCTGATATTGTTACACTAATCAAAACTTGAAACAATATCTTAATTAGGGTTATTCAGAGATACTAGTTTTATCTAGTAACATATTGTTAAAACAATGCATATTTTCATCATCATCATTGCACATAATTTTCTTATATGCATTCCTCTGTACCCCTTCAGCAATTATTCTAGGAACTATGGGTTCTATTTTAGGCTTAGGAATGTTTTTATACAATGGTTTATTAGTATTAAGTGCATATTTCAATTTCCGTCATTTCCAGTACCTGTGATCGTTTTCAAGAGGTTTAATTCTATTAGTTACACTTAACCCAAGAAGCTTATATTTATGGTTCATCCAAGGCACCATCCCCCAATGTTTAATGAAGACTTCTTCTAAAGTTATAGCTAACAAATAATTAAGTTACACAGTGAAATAGTCAATTTCACTCATTGTAATATGATGTTATATGCAGCTAGGTAAAATATCCACCACCATGGTAAACTTTGGCCAAAGTAATTATCTTCTTACAAATATTGACAACATAAACAGCTAGATAAACATAAAAGTGGAGATTGAGTTAACAAAAAGCCCTAATTCAGTAATATAACATGAAGGAATCCTAACATAGTAATCAAGTAGAATTGAACAGACAATACGACCAAATCAATAGTAATGAAGGATGCATGAACTCTACTAGTATTATGCAAATGAAGACAATAATGTTGATCCAACACACAATAAATCACACTAAAATCAGCTAAACCGAGAAATTTTCAAATTTACAAGTATCCCTTAAGATGATGTTGTTTGAAAACCTTATGAAAATGCCTCATACGTGTGATTTGTCTCCTCTACTCAAGTCCCCTGAAACCCTAGATGATGAGAAAAAGATGCAGATTCAAGGTGAAGGATGGGAGGGAAACCTAGTTAATTGAAGCCTTAAAGGGTGAAAAAAGGAAGATGCGTCGGTAATGGATAATAGTGGAAAAACAATTGTTTTAGAACCCTAGGGGAGAAGGAATCAACACAATATAGTCTCCAGGAGAAAAATAATGGAAATGCACTTGAAGCAAAGTGGCATGTTTAGATAGGAAAAGAATGTCTTTTGCACTTACTCCATCTCTTGAAAGATTGTCTTCGTATTTAAACCCCATAGAGAGTTATGTGCTCATTATGATAAATTATTAATGTAAAGTGAATTACTCTTTAAAACTATTATTTCTTTGGATATGGAGTTGATAATTTTGGCTTTAGATTCATGAATGGTCAAATTCAAGAAGTTATGGATTCTTATGTTCACTAAAATTGTTATATATATGAAGGCATTGCATGTAATGCCACAACTTAGGCCTCCAAAAGTGAACTGGTTGAGCTTAAGGAGATTTTTAAAGATGTGTAAGAGAAAAGCCAGATGATTTATAAGTGTTAAGTTAGAATTGTATGCACCTATGGTGCAGTTGAGTAGATATCAAAGAGTGTTTAAACCTATTCATAGATATATTTTTAATATTATATAATTCTAGTTACTGTTAGTGAACTTGTTTGTTTTGAAGAAACAATAAATGTTGAAAATTTTGTCGAGTACGCTGATGAGAGTTGATAATGAAAGCAGAGGTAGAATTCTTAAATTAATAATATTTGTATATAAGTAAAACAATGAAAGGATAAGAAGTCATTGAAGAATGAATGTATTTTCGAGATCAAGGAAGAGCACAATGGAAATAAATGGTAAAAATCAAGGCTATTGATAAAAGGATTTTAGGAAAAAGGAAGGTATTAATTTTAGTGAAATTTTCTCTTATTATTAGGCTACTATCGAGTATAGTACCTACATAAATTTTATATTTTAAGCAATTAGATGTTGTGGTAACATTTCTTCATGATAATTTAGAGGATATCTACAAAGTGCAGTATGTAGGCTTAACAGTTCCTAAGAAAGAAAACCTTATATGTAAATTGAATAACGGCTTGTACGGATTAAAGAAGGATCCTCATCAGCGGTACAAATTTGAATAATTTGTGTCAAATTTTCATTATTAGATGCAATGCACATTGTTGTTTCTATATCATCAGAGTTGGTAAGAGTGATATCAAGAAATTTAAGGAACAATTTTCAAAAGAATTTGACTTGGACTTTTGAGATGCAAAGAAAATTCTCATGGTGAGAATAACATGTGATAGAGTGAATAGTACATTGAAGCTATCTCAAGTTATTTATATCCAGAAAGAGTTATGCAGAGTTAGTATGTTAAAAGTGAAATCAGTAAGTATTTATTGGGCTAGCTGCTTTTAACTCTCAAAATAACAGTTTCCTAAACTAATGAGAGATATAACATATGCCCAAATTTTCTTGTCATTGCGGGTATTTTCTGATGTTGATTTGGGTGCTGATCCGAATACCTAAAGAAATATGATGACATGATTTATCCCTACTCTGAATGTGTTAGCAATCAGTTTGATATAATAGTTGTAGACGAAAGTGGCAGTCTTAACCAAAGCAGCAAAAACCTGTTGTAATTATCGACGATGATAAAGAAATGATTTGGCTTAGCTTGTGATAGCTAGAGTAATGCATGTGCATCAAAAGAAAACATATAGTATTTGGGGGAAAAGAATGTGATCCTTGAAATTGAACTACTGAAAAATGCCTTGCATGAGTTCCTGATGTTTCTTATTATTTATTTGTTCATTAATATATTTAATTAGATGTTTTTTTCCAAGATGTGCTCCAAATCTGTTTCAAAAGTTTTCAGCATTTTTGAGTAACTTCTTGTTAACGCATTTGCATGGTATGCTATGCATCTGATGGCTTATAACAACTGAAATAATTCCTACGCATTTATATTTAATCAAAACTCAACTATATAGTAACTGCTGGTGATAGAAAGTGGACAATTCATATCTCGTTGTCTTTTCGTGCTGCTTTGCTACATAGATTTTTTATCGGATTACCATGGACTTTACCTTTGCACTGCAGTATGCCAGCTTCCTGTGATTGTATAGAAGAAGGTCTGTGTGAGATACAGTTGTCAGTGCCCTTGCTGAAATCTCGCTCTTCTACTGATTTAAAGAACATTTTATTGCATGAGATGATTCATGCATTCTTGTGGATTATACATAAAAACAATAATCACAGGTATCAGGTCCTTTTTTATTGAATAAAGTTTCATGATTCTTAGGTTTTTCTTTTGGATATAATTTTGTTCTGTTTGTGCAGTGAACATGGATCCAAATTCTGGAACATAGCAAATTTAATCAACTCCAACCATAAGGATGATGATCAGGTCCACTAGACTTCTAGTAGTATAATTTAATTCCAGTGATGAATTGCTTGTTTATTTCTTTGTGATATCTTCAGAGACCCTCTAATGGTTACCGTATCACTGCCCATCATGGCTTCCAGAATGAAGAGGATACTCATGATGCTCACCTATGGATGGTAAAATATATTTATATTTTTTCCTCTTAAATGCGAGGAATGCGCCCAATGTACTGTAGTATTCTTTTATATAAAAGAAAATATGATGAACGTTATTTTATCATCTATTATTGGGCTTGCTTTGCAGTGTGCATCTTGTGGGGATTTTAACAAGGGAGGAATGAATGGAGAACCTTCACCTAGTGACTGCTTTGAAAATAATGGCGGTGATGACTGCGGCAATATTTTATGTGGATGGCATAGGTAAGATCTCGAAGAAATATCCTTATTTTATTGGAAGTGGTTGATTCAAATTATGTTGGAAGAGTTGCGTGTTTGTTTGCATATTCATAGAAAGCCCTTAGGTAGGCATTAATCATCATGCATTCCTAGCATCAGGCTACGTGCTGACTCAAACAAAAATGAAAGAAATGATCTACTGGCCATGAAGTGATGGATGATAGTGTGGTATGCAGTCTAATGATAATTGTGTGAGTTGATTGAGAGATGCACCTTTGAACAGTTCCTGTAACAATGCCTTGACTACCAATAACAGTGGAAGTTGGGCTAGACAACACGGGTAAATAGGTGCCCAAACTTATGTAGAATGCTCTAATTACATTATCTTCCTTGCCTTTATAAATAGCTTACCAAAGGAAAGGCCATTTTTTAGTGACAAAGGCTGCTTGTGGTAACACTGGCACGCTACTCTCCAGATTTCATGAATGACAGCTTGATGCATCATATCTTTGTTCTTTCCATGACCTGCCTGTTTGCTTGTTGCATTTGCTGAGAATCTTGAGATAATTATAGTATGAAATTTTCTTTGAAGAATGATTTACCTACTTTTGCAGGCACAAGAAGTTATGCCCTGGCCAATATGAAAAAGTAGTTGATGTCTCTGCATTCAAAAACAAAGGAAAGTCTATAGGTGAGACACTTGACTTATTTTGTAGGGATGATTTTCAGTGTAACATGCAAATCTTGGTTATTACAAAACAAACAGCTAACTATTTTTATTTACAATAATACCATCCAAATGTGGAAGTGCGTAACAGAACCCATATTTTTTTATTTTCATTAAACTTTCAATGAGTTTGCTAGTTAATTTTTTACTTGGGTGTTAGATATATAAATAAGAAAGATTTGGATGATATGTACATAAAATTTTATATTTAAAATTAGTTATAATAAGTTTATCATTCTTGATGTTATGAATATTATGAGTTCCATTATTATTTTCTTGTGGATCATGCTTAATGTTACACCTAATATGACTGTACAATTACTGATAACGAGCAACATGGTGAAAATTGATAAGCGAGTTCAATAGGTGAGATGTAGAGAAAGAGGAGTTGACTTCAGAAATCCAAATTTTATCCTAGCGTCAATTAATCAAATAATTCCTAACACATGATTGGAACCCCTTACATAGACTTATGGTGTAAACTATTAAGTTTCAGTCTTTGAGAGATTGAGATGGAGTCATGTTTTACGGGTTGAAAAATAGAAGAAAAAGAGAAAGTATTGTATTGAGGTTGACTACAAGGAGGTAGAGAGAGGAAATTGCAAAGAAGAAACTAAATAGGGATTTGTAGCGATTTTATGTATTGAACCAACATCCACTCCATAGTAAACAAAAAGAATATCCACTATATTGACAAATAATGTGCTATTTGAGATGTTTCCCAACGGTCATTGAGCTTTTTGAATTCTTTGTTATGGGATGAGAAGAGAAGAGTGAATTACTACAAGGAGAAATTAAACCCGAGAAGAAGTGTACGCTATTTGTATTATATCAACAGAAGAAAAAGAGAGAAGACGACACTCAAGTTTTCTTAACAAAGATGAGACGAGGAAGTGTATGATATTTTCCTACATTGCTAGGCACCCTCAAGGTCGACTCACCCAGTGATGATATGGATGGTCTTGATAATTTGCACAACCTTTTCTGGAGTGGTGTTGGGTTGCCTCGGCTATGACTCTTTGATATACATTATATCCTTTCGGGAATGAGCTAAGTCCCTTAGCTGGCATTCATTAATTTTTTTTTTTAGGGTGGGGGGGGGCACATACATACCACTAGATTATTTTGTATTTACATATCAAATACTTGTGTTTATATTTACTTGTATGGTATCTGAGCATCTAAATGTCATCAAAACTGTGTATTTCACTTTAGATAAGTTTTTGTTAGTGATATTTTTAAATTTTATTTAAAGATTATGATATTATATACCTAAAATAAATATTTAGGTTTTAGACATAAATACATAATATTTAATGGTATGTATGTAAATCCCCTAAATTTTTCGAAGATGGCCTGTAGAACTCAGGAATGCAGCTATGGTACAAACAGAACTTGGATTTATCCCTTCAACTCCCTTCTTCATTAGAGCAAACCAGCTGTAGTAATCTCTTTTTGAATGACCTTCATTATGGTCTAATGATCAGTTCAGAGGTAAATGTATCTCTCACGACATGATTGAGGCAACTAGTGTGGCTTCTTGGACTTCTACTATTGGTAGTTGTTATATTCGTAGCCTTTTCTCTGAGTGAAATCCTTTTTTTTTGGCACTTCGTCTTGGGATGGGGTGTGGTGTACCCTACTTGGTTTTCTATAGATAATATTTTTTTATGAGAGAGCGGAATGTGGTTATGGAAGACAACTCAAATTCTCATAGAAAAACTTTGGCACTTATAAACTTAGCTGCTTTCCTGAGTAGCTCCTCTATGGTGGCAAGAACGTTCCTAGCAAGAAAAAAATTGAAGTCACGTGATTAGACAACTAGAACAAAAGTATCATTGTTGATCGATTTATTGCCATCCATAACATAATGGGTGGCCTTCGTAAAACATGCGAAATAATCATGAAGGCTCTCTCCCTCAAATCGCTTCATGTAAACGGGTGACTTGAAAATTTTTAGAGGCATTTTTGAAGCAAAAACCGAGAAAGAGGTAGGATAACTCAGAGGAGTAAAGTCCATACACATACATATAGTTGAACCATCGACTTGTAATGTCTTTAAAGGTGTTGGTGAAAGATGATATTTTGTAGTGCCTTAAGATTTTGTATAGAGAAATGATATTCTTGAAGGTATTCAAATGGTCAGAATAATTGATTGTGCCTTTGGACAACACTAGTTGGTTTGCTTTAAGTTTTAAAGGGATGACCATGTTTGAGATCTCAGTTGAGAAGAGATTATGATGAGTATGAGCAGTAGCATGGGGTGAAGGAGATGAAACCTCACAGATTTGGATTATTTGGGCCAATTTAGTGAGCAAGGTGATCTATTTGGTGGACGACCTTAATTTATAAATGGAGTTAACATGGGTAAAAGAGGTATTATTGCTATAGGAATTTCATGGGTTCAAGATGGGTAAAGGGGGAGATTCACTTGGAGTTGAAATTTGTGTTGGTTTTTTATCTATCATAACTCTCTCACATCAAGTAGTGATAGAATTTCTTATAGATGGCGAGCCCAAGATAAAATTTTATGAGCAAAAGAGGTTTTGATCACTTTAGTGAGCAAGGTTGTTTGTTGGAGGCCCTTAGTTCGTGAATCGAGTTAGTTTGGTAATAAAAGTATTATTACCATAGGAATTTCATGGGTTGAAGATGGGTAAATATGATGCACCGACACGCCTCTTAAAGAGGGTATACAGTGTTGGACACGGACACGTGTCGACACGGCATGGACACGTGTCCGACACGGCATTGGAGTGTCGCAATTTAAAAAATTAAAATTAAAATTGGACCCGTGTCCGGTTATTAAATGATAAAATCGTTCGTTCTATTTAGCCTTTTCCGTGAACTAGAAGCCCTATTTTTTCGATCCATGATAGAAATCTTCTAGGGCGGACTGGGAGAGCTCGCAGTCGAAGCCAAACGGAGCCCGCTGCCTTCGCTTCTGATTCCTTCGTCATCTTTGCTCGAGCCGAGGCCAAGCAAACTCGTCTTTCACATTCCTTCATTCTTGTGTGATTTCTGCAGTCATCTGAGGCAAAGTTCGCAATCAAGGCCAAACAGAGCACCTTATGCGCGCAAGAGAGCCAAGACCTGTAAGTGGATTTCGCCATTTCTTCTCTTCATTTTTGAAAAGCCTAATGTTCATGCTCGGTACCGCTCAGTACATGCTCGGTACCGCTAGGTATATGCTCGGTTTTGCTCAGTACATGCTCGGTACCATTCAGTACATGCTCGGTACTGTTCAATATATGCTCGGTACTGCTAAATACTTGCTCGGTACCGCTCAATACATGCTCAGTACTGCTTAATATATGCTCGGTACCGCTCAGTACATGCTCGGTACCGCTCAGTACATGCTCGGTACTGCTCGATATATGCTCGGTACTTGATGCGATCAAAAAATATAGGGGGCCTATATTTTTTTATCACAAAAAATTATGCGATCAAAAAATATAGGGGGCCTATATTTTTTTATCACAAAAAATTAACACTACTCTACTACGTTAAAAGACTAACAAGACAAAAAAGTTTGCAAGAAAGCAAACTCTTACATTTCAATTTAAGCTAAGAAATAGAAACTTACAATCAAACTACGACTCGTACAAATTAAATGACAGACACCCTAAAATGATGTAAGCAAAAAATATAGGAGACCCTATATTTTTTGCTTAACAAAAATAAAGACTTTACTGGGTAATAGAAAAGACACTAAAATGAGACAAATTGGACAAAACAAACTTTAATATTATAAAATAAAGACTAACAAACTTTGACTCAAATGACTCAAACAAGACACCCTAAAATTGCTTCACTTGAGAAGAGGGATATAGGTGGAGTGGCACTTGCGGAGAGACGAAAGATATTAGAAGCCCGAGAAGAAGGGTGGAAAGAGCCCGCATGATTTCCGGAGGGGATGAGAAAGAAGGGTGGAAAGAGCCCGCAGGATTTCCAAGCAACCCGCAGGTTAACAATTTTTTTTCAAAAATCACATATCACATAACTACTCTTTAAAACATTACAATACATCTCATATTTATAGGTATGAGAATATGAAAAGACACATTACATTAATTCAAACACATTAATCTAAGCATTAAAACATATAAATCCTCCCCCCCCTTGCTCACGGAAATCAGCCCCAAACTAGAAGAGCAGCCGTGGGAGCCAAGGAGGCCACGCGGAAACCAAGGGGCACGGCCACGGGAAAAGAGCCCAGGCACGGGAAAACCAGCAGCCGGCCAGAGTTCCAAGAGGCAAAACGCAAAATACGAAAAGCCAAGGAGGAAGCCAAAGGGCCACCTCATGGAGAAAAGAAAATCTTGGAATTTCAAAGGCCGGTTTGGAATTCCAAGAGACAAACATAAAAAGCATAAAAGACATTAATTAAAAGATAATAAATGAACTAAAATGTTAGCTCATAATGAGCTAACCCTTAGTTCAATAATTGAATTAAAGCCAGCTCATAAATGAGCTAAAAGTTCAGCTCAAATATGCTAAACTACTAGACTCAAGGGAAGACAAAATTTGATTTATTTTGGACTCATGTTGACCCCCCTTTGTCTACATCAGTACTGCTCAATATATGCTCGATACCACTCAGTATCTTCCCATACAAATAATAAACGAACTTTAAAAACAAGCAGAACTTCAAAATTACTCTTATAATAAAATTTTGCTCCGGGGGCAGGAAACCCCCGCAGGGGCGCTGCCCCTTGACCCCACGACCTGATCGGGCAGGTCGAACCCCGCCAGGGGGCAGCGCCCCCTTGGACCCCCGGCAGACCGATATATTGTTATATTCATGTTGTGTTATTATTAGGATATTTTGATTTCACTTCATATCAATTTAATTTAATGTATTCATATGTATGATTGGTTTGTTAGCAAAATGGGTTCTGCTGCTGGCGGAGTGGATTAGGTGAAGGTTCAAAAGTGCCATCTGTAGAAACTGATAAGCCGTT